AAAATTAAATTTATTAATTAATTATATATATTAAAGTATATAATTAATTAACTTTATATTTAAAAGTAAATAAAGTAATATTAATAAAAAAGTAATAAATTAAATTAAAGTTTTTAAAGTAATATTAGTTATTATATATTTAAAAGGCTTATAAAAAGCTTTTTTTATAACTTAATTACTTTTTTATACCTTTAATACTTAATAAAAATAGCTAGCTATAATATAAATACTTTTAAGCCTAGACTTTTAAGCCTAACCTCTCTATAAGTAATTAGTTTTTAAAGGTGGTTAGTTTTTAGTAGTAGTTGGTTTTTAGGGGTGGTTGGTTTTCCCGTATCCGACATTAAGCCTTAACACACCCGCCATCAATCTTCTCCTCCTTCATCAGCATACCTATATTATGGCTTCCAGGATGCCCATCTCCACGTGCGTGTCATTGCACACCCGACACCACGTGAACGATACCTGCTAACATTCAGTAGTGTATACGTCCAAAATCTCGAAGAGCGCGTCAAGCTTGATGCATTGGTAGACGCCTTGAGAACAGTTTTCGCAGAGTTCGGCAATATTGTTGACATTGTGGCGAAGAAGAATCTGCGTGCCAAAGGGCAGGCATTTGTCGTCTATGATAACCCTGAAAGTGCCCAAGATGCTGTTACTGAAATCGATGGGTTCGAGCTTTTCGGCAAACCTATGAAAGTTGCTTTCGCGCGAACGCATAGCGACAAGACCGTTGAATTAAAGGGCAACCAGGAAGACCTCGAGCAGCATAAGCGCCATCGGCAGGCTGAGAAGGGTATGATTAATTCAATCTCTCATATTATTCCATCGCTAACGTCGGCGGGACATATAGACAAACGCAAGGCCCTTGAGTCTGCAGAAGAGCAGAGACAAATCAACAAGCGAGGGCCTGGCTCAGTCAACGACAACCGACCTGCAAAGGCAGCGAAATCAGGTCTCAAGTCCACCAGCGCCGCAGCATCGGGCAGTGTGCTTGACGAGTTCCTTCCTCCCAACAAAATTCTTTTCGTCCAGAACTTCCCCGAAGACTATGACATCGAGACTTTGACCAGCGTGTTCGGCCGATTTGACGGATTTCGTGAGGTTAGGCTGGTACCTGGTCGTCGTGGTATCGCATTTGTCGAATACGAGGCGGAACAAGGCGCTATAACTGCCAAAGAAAACACGGCTGGTTTACACTTGGGAGACAAACCCATCAAGGTCACCTACCAGCGACAGTGAATATAAATGCTAGTATTGATAGAAAGGCCGTGATTGCTAATTGGTACGGTCACAACGTTGGCTGATGGATTCTTGTTTAACAATAAACACAACACACATCCAGCTATCTCCTGCACTCCAGTATTATACTATGACAGCCTGTTTGTCGCACGCTTCCGATACGGCTACTGCTCTCTCAAAAAATGACGTCTTCATCGTCGCCGGCGCCCAGTACATCTGCAGTTGTGGAATCGTCTTTCTGGGACTTGTCTTCGCGCTGTGCGGATGCTTCCGCCTCACGTCTTGCCTTCATCTCGGCATCTGCTGCAGCAGTATCTCGCTGTTTCTTGTTCGCAACCTATCATATGTCAGATGAATCGCCATGAATCGGGTTATGCTAAAACCTGCCTTCTTTAGTCTGTAAAACTCCTCGCGATCGAGCTCGTCAAGCTCAGAGTTGATGTATTTGATAGTATTCTCGGTCCTGGGAATTATGACATGCTCAATCGCGTTAACTGGGATGATAATTAGTATCACAGCTGATGTCAACAGTTCGAGCGACATACCACGCCGATTGACCACTTTGATGACCTCATCGAGGATGACAAACGCGGTCTGCAGACTAGCCAGCTCAACCAGCGCCTCAACAGCACGAGCATATGTTTCCCTGCATCGCTGAACCTGCTGCCCTCCCTTGCCCAAACCCGTCAGACCGAAGTCATTATTTCCCTCCGTAAGGTAGCTTTCGAAAGCTGGAAGAAGAACACCGGATACGTTGTCTTGTTTCGTACGAACGCGAAACCGAGCAGACTTGGCGGACTCCTGCACTTGATACCCAATGTCACCACCAACAGCATATGTCACTTCTGCCAGCGAGAAAGCTGCAATTTGCATGACACGCCCCATTTTTCGCTTGGCCTCATCGATTCGTCTTGTGATTTCTGTGTTATCGGGTATCAGTACACTGGCGAAAGGATTGGTTTAGATCAAGGGTTTGTTAGGGATATGAACCTCGGAATCGTCTGCACTCAAGGGTTAGCCAGTCGTAACAATGGGTGAGCAGAGCTGTATCGTTGCACATACTTTGTCAGAGCTTCGCTCTTTCGCTTCAATAGACTATGGCCTGTCTCTGCGCCTTTCAGCTTTGCCTTCATGATGCCCAGTGATTGCCGGGTTGGAAAGACTGCTTCGCGATCCTGGGCCACAATCATCAGCGCTTCTCACGACCCGTCTAGGGAAGGCGAAAGTTTTGACTTACATTGGCCCCAGACATTTTGATAGGTAAGATTTGATGAGAAGGGCAGTTTTGGTGTTGTTCGTGTGGTAGTGGTGGCTAGAGTGTGAAGCTGTCTCGCTTTAGGCTGTCTGTCTCAAGGTAACCTGGAAGGTATCTAGGCTGTCGTCGTCACAGGGCCAAGGCGTTAGCTGGACCATTGGCAGCCCTGGAAAGCTCCCCTAGACTTTGTTCATTCGGGCAGAGTTGCTGGGCAGCTATCAATGCTATAACGTAAGCAGCGACGACTGGTCGCCCCACTCTTAGCGGTTTAGTGGATCGGCCCTGAACTGTGAGGACCTAGGTGTTGCGGGCTTCGGAAAAATACAACAGTCTCGCGTTCTCATCAGTCGAAGATCGAGCAACCCAGGAGTCCTCTAGTTTCCTCCCGCCGAACCGCATAAGGAATCAGCGACATTCGGGGGTGTTAAGTTGGCGCTTCCGGCCAGACTCGGGCCTATACGAGGCACATTGTGGCTTTCGGAGCGACGTCCTTTGACATTTCCAGCTCTCTCAACGATGTACGGTTCACGTTGATTCGATTCAACTGCCACCTTCGCGAAATTTCTCCTGTAATCTCCCCAACGATCTAGAATTCCATAATGATTATGGCTCCGATCGATCACGCTCTAAATGGAGCGCGCAGACAGCCCCAACTGCATCTCGTAGTAAGTACACAAACACGATGCGCATCACGTATGATACTCAACTGACCGAAACCCTTCAGTCCAACGAGGATTCCGTTTACGAGCAAGATGTCCTTCGCGACCCTGGTAGTGTGAAACCCTGGCTGGCATATATTGAGTTCAAGACACATCACGGAACCATCCTCGAGCAAACGTATGTGATGGAGCGAGCTTGCGCTCAATTGCCGCGTTCATACAAATTATGGAAACTGGTATGATAACACCCACGCAATGGCATCCGTTGCCTAATGCTGAAGCCTAACATCATCTAGTATCTCTCGTTTCGAGTTAAGCACGTTGCCAAGTTGAATCCAGCATTATTCGCCGCAGAATATCGCAAAGTCAACACCCTTTTCGAAAAGGCCCTCAATCTATTACACAAGATGCCGCGGATATGGGAAATGTACCTCAAGTTCCTGACGAAACAACCTCTTGTTACTCTCACTCGACGGACATTCGACCGAGCTCTAAGAGCTCTTCCCATATCTCAGCACAATCGTATTTGGGCCTTCTATCGCCCATTTGCGAACTCAGCCGCGGGCGAAACGGCTGTGAAGATTTGGCGACGCTATATGCAGGTGCATCCCGAAGATGCTGAGGACTTTATCGAACTACTGACTCAAACGGGGCTTTACACAGAGGCCGCGCTGAAATTTATAGATGTTCTTAACAACGCCAGGTTCAACAGCAAGCACGGGAAAGGCCATTATGAACTCTGGAGCGAAATGGTAGATCTTGTTGTTGAACACGCCGCCGAAATCGAGACAGGATACGAAACTGGCATTGACGCGGAACGTATAATTCGAAGTGGTATTTCCAGATTTGCGGATCAAAGAGGGAAGTTATGGTCAGGCCTCGCTACTTATTGGATCCGGAGAGGCAGCTTTGAACGGGCTCGCGATGTCTTTGAAGAGGGGATCACCACGGTCATGACAGTGAGAGACTTCACCCTTATCTTCGAGGCTTATACCGAATTTGAAGAGTCGATCATCGGTGCTCTCATGGAGGTTGCGTCTGCAAGGGCTGAGAAAGGGATAGAAGACGAAAATGCGGACTTTGAGCTGGATATCAGAATGATGCGCTTTGAACAACTCATGGACAGGCGACCATTCCTACTAAACGACGTCCTGCTACGCCAGAATCCGAACAACGTTCCAGAGTGGGAAAAGAGAGTTGCCCTTTGGGGCGATAACAAGAAGGAGGTTGCTCAGACGTACACGGATGCAATTGCGGCAATACAGCCAAAACGCGCCATCGGGGCATTTCATCAGCTCTGGGCCAACTACGCAAAGTTTTATGAACGCGGAGGTGACCTGAGAAACGCCCGTGTCATCATGGAGAAGGCGATCAAGGTGCCCTTCAAGTCAGTAGCAGAGCTTGCTGATATGTGGATTGAATGGGCAGAAATGGAATTACGAAATGAGAACTTCGACGAAGCCGTCCGGATCATGGCTAAAGCAATTCAGGCACCAAGGCGCTCCACTGTGGACTACTTCGACGAGACCTTGTCACCGCAACAAAGAGTCCACAAGAGCTGGAAACTCTGGAGCTTCTACGTCGATCTTGTTGAAAGCGTGTCTACTTTGGATGAGACCAAAAAGATTTATGAACGAATCTTTGAGCTCCGAATTGCAACACCTCAGACGGTTGTCAACTATGCCAATTTGCTCGAGGAACACAAATATTATGAGGAATCGTTCAAGATTTATGAGCGCGGCTTAGACCTATTCAGCTATCCCGTTGCTTTCGAGCTTTGGAACTTATATCTTACTAAGGCTGTTGATCGGAAGATCGGGATAGAACGACTTCGCGATCTATTCGAGCAAGCCGTGGAAGATTGCCCTCCGAAGTTCGCAAAGACGATCTACCTCATGTATGGTAACTTGGAAGAGGAACGTGGCCTAGCGCGTCATGCAATGCGAATTTACGAGCGGGCCACACGAGCAGTCGCGGACGAAGACCGGGCTGACATGTTCAACTTCTATATCACCAAATCTGCCTCCAATTTCGGCCTGACGTCGACCAGACCAATTTACGAGAGGGCCATCGCTGCTCTTCCAGATGTCGAAGCTAAGGACATGTGCCTTAAGTTTGCGGACATGGAGAAGAGGTTGGGTGAGATTGACCGGGCTCGCGCCATCTATGGCCATGCATCGCAGTTCTGTGACCCCCGCACAAACCCCGACTTCTGGACGAAATGGGAGCAGTTCGAAGTGCAGCACGGTAACGAAGATACATTTAAAGAAATGTTACGTATCAAGCGAAGTGTTCAGGCGCAATACAACACAGACGTCAACTTTATTGCTTCCCAAGCCCTTGCACGCAGTCAACGTCGTCCTGGAGGGGCAGATGATGCCGAGTTAACGGATGCCATGGCGGCACTGGAGAGGCAATCCAGAGCACCGCAGGGGTTCGTGGCAGCCAGTACTGGACCAGTTGGAGGCACACCAGCTACAGCGGCAGTCACTTCAAATCCCGACGCCATTGAGATCGATGGCATTGATGAATGATGGGCGGTTGCAGGTGGAGTGTCTAATTTAGGTTTTTCTTTGCGTAGTAGGACGTACAAGACGTTTATCCAAGATAACTGTTCCCTTAATTCCCGCATTTAGTCTCTCATCTTACAGTTGTGAACTCGGCAATCATTCATGAAACCAAACTCCTGCTACCTGATCACGCAACACTCGCTCCCGATGCTTTACTTGCTACCGCTGCCCCAGTTCTTCTCGGTCATCTTGGACCAGTACTTGTCCTGATAGTTCCTATCGACATGACCGTCGCGAGATCCAGGCGTAGCATAAATGGATCCCTTGCGTTTTTGGAAACGACTGGGGGGAACCTTTGACGCATCTAAGCATTTCTCAGTTAGCTGCCGATGCAAGATTGTTTGGTCATATATTGTACGTACCCCACTCATCACTCATTCTCCGGTCTTGTGCGGCATCACTTGCTCTACGATCCTGGGGGGGTGACCCAACAACAGGCGTTTCGTTCAGGGGCTGTGTAGTACCCTCTTGGGTATTAATAGGTTGCTCCATCGTTCACTGTCTGGGCCGTGTAAAGAGTTTTTGTGGAGGGGCAGGAAGGAACGAAAGATTCTGAGTACAAATGTGTTGGGGGTATCTTCAATTTTAGGTACTTGATAGGTGCCTAGGTAAGTAAGGAAGAAGACTTGGAAGGGTCCAAGTCGAGATCGTTGGGCAACGAGGTGTTTATATACTGCCTTGGGAAGTCTCAAATGGATAGGTAGGTAGGTAATGGAGGTGTCTATTACCCCGCAAGATGAATGCCTGGCTACCTCTATTCGGCTTGTAGGCAGTTAGTTGTATTGAATTGGATGGACATGGGAAGCTTAGACAAGAGCGGTTGTAGATTGACGCTTGCAGTGGCGTATCGCTTGTAGAGATACGGCCAATGCTAGGTACGCAAGGAGGCAGCTGGACGTGGCTTAGAATTAGACCATCATGGCCATTGACGTCAGGGTGATGGTCACAATACAAAGGGTTCTTAGCGAGTGGTTGAGAAATCCTTTAGGAGGTTGCCGCTATCAGTGAGGTAGCCTACATAGCTCGACCGCGATGACGATTGAGTGTGTGATCAGCCAGCCTCTAGCAATGGTCTGAGGCCCTTGATTGGAAACAAAAGCCAAAGGTGGTGGTAGTCGTAACACTGTAAGGCTAACATGCAAGCTAGACAAAGGTACCGTGACCATGTTGCTCATCACCCCATGAAGCTATTTGTCGGGAGATGGCTTTTTAGCAGACACGAACCTATTCGAGGCGTGGTGGTGGTCCTTGAGAGAAGGCAATTGGATCAATGTCGCGAGACACCAACCGTTGGTAGCTCAGCTCGGCAAAGAGCTTACAGATGCAACACAACTTATGCAGCCACGGTGGCAAATGGTCAAGCATGAGGGCATGTACTGTACATTGTTGGATAGGTCCAACCTACATACATATGTGATGACAACGAGAGTCAAAGATGCTGCTGGCAAAGATATGCTCGACGCAGACGCTGAGCCAATGCTGTTGGCAAGGGTTATTAAGAATTGGACAAGGTTGTATCGAGATATATCAAATGAAGGGTCGATGGGTAAATATGGCGTAAAGTCGCGTGCTGTACCCCGTAGACAAACTAGGTAGTAGGTAAAGTACCTAGGCCGAGCGAGAGACTACCTAAAACACCGAGGTCACGGAGCTGGCTGCTTGGCATGGAGATCTAACAACGATAAGAATCGGATAGCTCACCTAAGCCAAGAGGCTTCAGCTTTACCCCGGAATGAGAGCTGCAAGAGTAGAGGTGTTACTAAGGATGGGGTACAGTAGTTTGTTGTTAGTTTACTGGATCGGCAGGTTCATGAGCCGATATACACACGCTAGATCCAGGCCACACCAAAGTCGAATGGGTGAAGCAGAGAACAGTGACTGACTTGGATTGGAGCAATGGGGGAAGAGAGCCTGTGCACGTATTCGGAGTTGGTAGAATGCCAGCAGCGCCATGCTGAAAAGGCCAATATTGGTTTCGACCGTCTGTTTGTTTATTTGTTTGTTTGCAAGATCGACGGTAACTAAATTCATAGACATGTGACCGCCGGCATACGACACTTACAACGTCATCAACTGAGATGCGATGTGGGGTTTATTTTTCTACATGGAACCTATGGGTGCGTTGCACGACGATAAGGGACTGCGAGTAAACCGCCGACGATCGATCCATCCATCCATGCTTGATCTCTGAGGCAGGAATTGGCTCTATCATTTCGTGTCTCCCTACCTATTACCTTCCCGGCGTCCTTTTTTAACTGATCACGACACACAGCATTCTTCATGTACAGGCAACAGCAGACACGTTTGCCTGCTCAACTCGATGCGACTCACCATTTTATACGCTCAAAGATAGGTGCATCCTCTCCAGCGATTCCCCTGCGCTCGGACATGCCACGCACTCGTCAGAATGTCTGAGTATGGTGCTTCTGGCGTGGTCAGCTCAGGCCCTGAGGTAGGCGAGCTTCCAACTACCAACGACGCCAACGGCGATGCACCTGTTTTCCCCTCGCTTCAGAACAATGGCGCGGGAAGTCCCTTGTCTTCAGAAGCCGCCGGCGGCCCCACGATCGGTGAAGACGACAATGACGATGAGCCCGCTGTAGCGAAGCCCTTTATGCGAACAACGAGCCCTGACCCGTCCACACGCGCATTCCCAGATACCTTCGATGACCGTGTCCCTGATCGCCTAATTTACAAGATGCACAAGTTCAGTCTCTACGAAACGGCCAGTCGATATTACATCGTCGGTGTCGATGTCAGTGAAAAGCGCTATCGAATCCTCAAGATTGACCGCACTACCGAGGGTGCTGAGCTCAACGTGACGGATGACAAAATTGTCTATAGTTTGAAGGAGATGAACCAACTGCTCGACACAATAGATGACGGGAACCGAGGTACCGGTGGCATCAAGCTTCGCTGCACCACATGGGGCCTCCTTGGCTTTATCAAGTTCACCGGCCCCTACTATATGCTTCTCATCACAAAAAAGAGCACTGTCGCTATGGTTGGAGGCCACTACATATACCAGATCGAGGGCACTGAGCTTGTTTCTCTGACTCCCGCGAAGTTCAAGCCAGATGCCCGCAACACCGAGGAGCAACGATTCCTCGGCATCTTGAACAATCTCGACTTGACTCGTTCGTTCTATTACAGCTATTCTTACGATGTTACACGTACCTTGCAGCATAACGTCATCCGGGAGCGCGATGCTCTTGCCAAGGGAATGCTGCCGCCAGACGACGACGATTTCAACTCCATGTTTGTCTGGAACGACTATCTGCTACAGCCTGCCGTTACTGCTCTTCGGGACCCATATGACTGGTGTCGTCCAATTATACATGGGTACATTGATCAAGCGGGTGAGTTTGGCAAATGGGACTACAGCTCCTATGTCCATGCTCCGTACTGATCTTCAACAGCTCTGTCAATTTACGGCCGTACTGCACACATCACTGTCATCGCAAGGCGATCGCGCTACTTTGCCGGTGCTCGTTTCTTGAAACGCGGAGCCAACGATCTTGTAAGTCACTTTTGCCTTCTCTTCTTGGTGCTCGCGTGCTGACACTCCTAGGGTTATGTTGCCAACGATGTTGAGACGGAGCAGATCGTAGCGGAGTCACTGACCACGTCGTTTCACGCACCTGGTCCTCAACTATACAGTAGCCCGCAGTACACCTCCTATGTTCAGCACAGAGGGAGCATTCCGCTTTACTGGACACAGGACAGCACCGGCGTTACACCCAAACCCCCGATTGAGCTTAATTTGGTTGATCCGTTCTATGGCGCCGCCGCTCTGCACTTCGATAACCTGTTCGAGCGCTACGGTGCGCCGATCTATGTTGTTAACCTGATCAAGTCCAAAGAGCGAACGCCTCGTGAATCAAAGCTACTGGAGGAATATACTCATGCCATCAACTATCTTAATCAATTCCTGCCTGAGGATAAGAGGATTATTCACAAAGCGTGGGATATGAGTCGCGCATCGAAAGTGCGTGGTGGGGACGTTATTGGCAACCTCGAGCTTATCGCAGAGTCGGTCCTCGCTACAACAGGCTTCTTCCGGAACGGGGATGGTCTCACGAGCCCCATGACAGCACAGAATGGAGTTGCCAGAACAAATTGCATCGACTGCTTGGACCGTACCAATGCTGCGCAGTTTGTCATCGGCAAGCGAGCCTTAGGTCACCAGCTACATGCCCTTGGCATTCTTGAGGATACGTCGGTTGATTACGACACGGACGCTGTCAATTTGTTCACTCACATGTGGCATGACCATGGTGATACCATTGCTGTTCAGTACGGCGGCTCACAACTGGTCAATACCATGGAAACCTACCGCAAAATTAACCAATGGACAAGTCATTCAAGAGACATGATCGAGAGCTTCAAGCGATACTACAACAACTCCTTCCTCGACAGTCAACGCCAGGAGGCCTATAACCTATTCCTTGGTAATTACATATTCACTCAAGGCCAACCTATGCTATGGGACTTGGCAACTGATTACTACCTCCATCACGCCGATCCACGAGATTGGTCCGCCAGGTTGAAGCATGACTACATCAATTGGTATGTTCCGGCTCACTTGCAGAGACGAACAATTCCACCATACGTACCCAGCAAAGACATTGCCCGCGCCCATCCGGTTGAATTCTTTGATGACTATTGGCTCGAGTATTACAGGCCATCGACCCTCTCTTCTTTCCCCAAGATGTTTGCTTACAAGATGAACTCAACTATCAAATACATCCCCCTTAAATCTACCCAGGATGGCCGCTACGACCTCAGCCCTTTCCGGGTTCGAACTGATAATGAAGTTGATCACGGTGAGAAAAAGAAGTCGAAGAAAGATGCTCATCCACACGCAAATGTAACAAGTTCTCGAGGACAGACTGTGGGAGCGAATGGGGCGCCAGATTCGATTTTGGACCGATCACCAGCGAAAGGGATCTCGCTCCAGCGTTGGCTGCAACCTGTTCAAGACAAGGGTGCACTCGCCAGCTCTCTGCGACTGGACACGAATCAACCAGTGCAGGCATCTGAACATAGCCCTAAGACGAAGCCAACAGCCCTGGAGAAATCCAAGGCTGCACAATGGACTTTCACCAAAGCTGTCCATGACTCACTGAATCCGTCTGTTGCCGAGCAGGAATCCGAAGATTACGAGCGATATATCCGTCATCCTCAAAATCTTCCTCTCGTTATTTCAAGCGACACGCCCGTGGACGTGGATGCGTCTGAGTATCAGGAGTATGTAAGCGGCGACTGGCAAGATGAAGGTTTAATGGTCAAAGGAACTGAAGAAGAGATCGATGTCTACGCTGAGTTGCTCAAGGTGGGGGAAAACCCTCTAACGGTGACTGAGGAAGATGGTCCAAAGAAACGATACAAAGCCTATAGGAAATGGCTGCGTGGGAAGTCTTTCTTCAAGCAACAGCCCCTAGACTGAGTCTTAACAACAGCCGCTCAGCCTTCACGCCAGCATTTCCGGGAAAAGGTTAGATAGCCGCGGTTCTTGCTTCAAGGCTTCACTCAGCTTCGCGGGACATTGAGAGGCATCATGGTCCCAGAGTGCCTGAAGAATTCCAGCTGTATGTGCCAACTCTCGTGACAATGTGTTGATATCAGCTAAAGTCCGAGATGCCCCATGCTCAATCTCCTCAGAAACGTTTAGCCAACATAACGACAGAATTCGGGCGACGTTCTCCATATGCTCAGTTTCTCGGATACGAGGCCATGAATTAGTAATGATGGCGCTCATGGTTTGCGTGGCCGCTATCAGGGTCAGAGGATATGAGACTGCAAAGGGGTCTGTCATGACTAATGACACCATTGAGAGAAGAGGCTGGCGCAAACGTGTTAAAAAAAACCCGAGGCGTTTTTCGGTAATAAGTGGTTACTCACAGTTAAATGTTTGATTGTATGGATATCCAGACTATTGATCACTGCTGTTACCTTCTGCAACAGAATTTGGACAATGCGAGTGTGCTGAGAAGCATGGAAATAACCTGCGAATACTCCATCTCTGAGGATCTTGTCAAATAGTCGGCGACGCTCAATACTGTTGGTATCCCCGGTGGACTGGGCCAGCTTGATAAGCACATCGTAAGCCGGTATGAGTATGGTCATAGACTCCTTTTCTGGTGTGACGCTGGGGAGATAGAGCAGGAGCGGAAATGTGACGTCCGCAAATACACGGCCTATGCCTGTGGTTTGCAATACTCGAGCTGGACATTTGTTTATGAATTCCCTCGTGGTCTTTAAACCTCTGACTTTGGTCTTGGTAGACTCGTTCTCCACCAGCGCCAACAAGACTGGTAAGAAAAGCGGCCAGTGCTGCTTAATGAGAGACGTCTACCAGCGAGAGTCAGCGCAACTAATCACATTTCCATCGGCACGACCTTACCGTAGACATGTTTACTGTCCACTGTATTATAGCCTCTGTCCACGGCGCCTGAGTACATGATTGCACTTCGATCACGGCTCGGGACCGATCGTCAATCATGTTATACTGAGAGGGCCGTCCTGAAGCCGTGATTCGCGAGGACGACTTCATAAACAATGGTTTCAAATGCTCCTGAAGGATCGTGTTGGTGATAAACTCGTTCAGGCTCTCACCTTCAAGGTGTTGGAACAAAAGTTTCGAGGCTGCTGTTGCAGCTTGTGCAGTTGTCCATGGGTCCTGAGGATCAGTAACAGCTGTGAGCTTTATGAGAGTAGATTGGCCCAGAACAATCCGATATTTCGAGCTTAATATACTGAGACTGGCAACAGCTGCTTCTGTGAGGAGTTCTGAGTGTTCTTTGTGATGTTAGTCAGCCTACAGACGTGATAGATTTATGCACGCTGATGTACCTTCAACGCTCCTCAATGCCAATGCTTTCTCACTAACGGCTGCCACAAGCGTCGATAATTGGCTCTGGTCCAAGTTGTTCTCTGAAGATGAGGCATAGTTAATTACACTGAGAACGGATTGGCGAAGATCCTGGAGTCAGCAATTGTCAGCTCGGCGCTGTTTATCTGAGCCATGTAGCGTCACAGGCGTATAGGAAAACGCACTATATTATTGGATTCAACCAATGAAGATATCAAACAGCCAGCTTCTGCAGGAAAATGCTCCGACTTCCCTGAAACAATGAATATATCCTAGTCAATTCGATGCCGTGAAGCTAAGGATGAGCCAAGCACGTACCCGAGACTTCATGCAACAATGCTGTATTTGAAGGGCCAAGGAGCCCTTTCAACGCACCGACTATGGTATCAGAGTCAGTCGCTGGCATCTTATCGTTGATTGAAGGTTGGTGAGTGAGAAGAATGAAGAGCGAACGTCGGATCTCGAGACAGGATGCCTTGGGTAAGATACTTAGGTAGATAGATAGATATCTTGATTGGATCCACATGGACTACGGTGTCGGGGCACAGTGGGTCACACTGTATAGAAAGTGGTGCCCGCCTGCCTGCTCAACATGGCCAAGTCAACCAACTTTGTCAACCTCAGTAAACAGTTTGCCAAGTTTTTTATAATTATACTCGTTCTTATTAACTGCAAGAGAGGCGTTTCTTTCTTCTTTCTTTTTCTTTGCCCTATATATCCATTGCATCCATACAGGCCATGCATCCATCATGATAGTCAAGCCATGGCAGCTTCGCCTAGGCTGTACCGGTGCATATGCAGAGCTCTCGACCTGGAACGAATACTAACTCCTTACTCACGGTAACCCCAACTCTTCTCTCCGCCGCTGTACTTCTTCTATTGCACCAGTTGGGTCTGTTTCGCCGGGGTTGCGAAGTTGCCATGCAATGCAGACATCTAGAGCCGGACCTGTCCATTTCCCCGGTTTGATACCACCTAGTGCTTTGGCAAGCTTTCCGCCATCAAGGAGCTTTTCGAGTTTCGTGACTTCATAGACGTCTAACTTGCTGAGGTGGTCGAGGAAACTATTCCAGCCTGCTAAGAAGTTGCTTTGTTCTAGATACAAGTTACTCGGATGTTCATGGGGGAAGGGAAAATGGCATCACTCTTACCTGCTGACTTTTCTCGACGCCATCCCGTGAGGGTTTCCAAGGCCTCGACGAGTAGTGTATTCAGAACCTGCAGTCTCCAGGTACCAGCGGGTGTGTCCCACTTCCTGATTGCCATGCCGAAACGATCTCGTTCTTGGATGTACGACTCTCCATTGCAGACGGCACGTTTCAACTTCAAAATCTCGTCACGATTGCGATGCGAAGCAGCAACAATACTCGACAGTCGATTTGGGGCTTTGAAGCCTTCGCGCGAGACAATGGCCACAAGAGGTAGAGCGTTTACTTTCCTATGAGGATTCGGAGGCTCTTCAACCGTCATCCATGGAGAGAGCGCGGCAAGATTCCAAGCGGTGTAGGTGGCATCCGAGGATGTAATGAGTCGGCCAGCGATGGAAGTCGAGCCTCGGTGCTTGAGAAGCTCATCAAGACAAGTATAAGCAACAGCCCAGCGCGATATGTCGGGGACTGGGAGGTTCTCCTGGGTTGGGTCGGTAAAGATTGCATGGAAGAGTTGTAGTTCATGGATGAGCTGAAGCGCTTCGAAAGGGTGATCTCCTACATAGAAATCAGTACATGCCGGTCAGATCAGATCAGATCAAGATGCTGCAACAACCTTTGAGCATTTTCTCCAACTCTACGCCAACTCGCTCTCGACTGATCTTAGCACGCAATGCTTCAAGGACCTTTGGGTCTGCCATGAATCTGCGCGTGCTGGCGTCGATTGTGAATTGAAGCCGGCTGGCGAAACGAACAGTTCTCAAAACCCTCAAAGGGTCATCCATGAAGGTCTGGAAGGGCTCCAAAGGGGTTCTGATTATCTTAGCTTCCATATCTGCGAGTCCCCCCGTAAAATCTTCAACACGATCGTCGTGTAGGTTGTAGAAGAGTGCGTTCACGGTGGCATCGCGGCGGCGAGCGTCCTCTTCAGCCGTACCGAATTCCATTTGAGGGTTTCGACTGTCCTCGGTATAGGTTTCCTTTCTGAGGTTGACGAAATCGAGATCCAGACCAAACATCTTGACCATGGCCGTTTCCAGATGCTTGGACTTCTCAGGGTTGCGCGCAACGTTGTGGAGGCTTCCGATATCTGCGGGGCCAATGCTGTGCTTGGACATGGCCTCTGGTCGTTCACAGTAATCGCACATAGCTTGAGCAAAAGAGACCCCCGTCATTGCGTTGATGGCCACGTCTATGTCATGGCTCTGGATATCGAGTAGCTTGTCGCGTACCCATCCACCGGCCCAACGGAGAACAATAGGCTCTTGAGCTTTTCCGGACTCGTCTATGTCTTTGGCAACATCAAGAAGCAGATGGCGGAGCTGCTGCTCCTTGCTGGTAAGTTGAACGGTGGCAGTCACCATGTTGGACTTGGGAACCTTGGCAGGCGGTCCAGGAATTTTGACTTTGGGAGAAGGCGCCCTTGGGCTCATGACCGAGTTGGAAGTCAACGAATAGTGTTCCTTTTGAAATGAGTCGAGATTTCTCTTCATCGCAAGACGCAAAGAGCGTTGGAGCATTTGATGTTGGGTGGGGCGGTTGCACAAATAAATTACAACTGAATGTGTGAGATCGAGCAGAGGGAAAGAATAACGATGTTGCCTCATAAATACGTGCCCAAGGCATTCCAAGACTGAGAGAGCATGTTCGTGGGGCGTCTTGGTGGCCAAGGTAGGCTGGTCTTTACACTGAAGCTTCGAGGAACCTTTACCCGGGTGCACATTCTCAGTCAGGGTATATGAATGACTAACGCCGCGAGGTGCTGGTCCACAAAAACGTTGCTAACTACAATAATATATACACATGTACCAACTCCAAGAAATACGCTGCAACAAAGTCTCCTTTCAAGCCATAGGTAGCAATCAATCAATCTATATCGGGCTTTGAGGGCATGTTTGATATCACAACTGGTTGGTACTGGTAGGTGGATGGATACATTCTAGTTCAAGCGTTTATCGCCCTGTTTATCTCAAGCGAACATCTGTCAATCTAGCTCTTGGAGCCGATGATAGAGGCGTTCTATTTGTGATTTTGTACAAAACCCTCTGTCAAGTAAACATCTAAAGTGTACAGTAGATTCCATCCAAATGCCGATGCGCAGATATTTTGGTCACATGATCTTGATGGCTCTGACTTTTCCCAGTCTTTTCCGAGCGAAGCAAGATTTATACTTGAGTAACCTTTTCTGTCGTGACAGGGTTGCTAGCAATCTGGTCCTCTTTAGTCTCAGACTTCTTCTCGATCTCCCTTTCCTTCTCCGAAAGCTGTGCCGACACTTCAGTGGTCTGATTGTCTGCCTTGTTCGCGCTCGGGGACTCATCGAGAGCGAGTTCGCCGCGGAGTTCAGGTAGGAATCGATCTATGCGCTTCCAGGTCTCTGACCAAAGTTCCTCCTTCGACGAATCTATGTGGGGTGACACAAGATACTTACTACTGGCCATAAATAGCAGCACGTTCTTGAGGTTCTCACGAACAGCCTCCTCCTACTGTTTGTCAGTGCTTGTATCTTTGCACAGCTGGATATGTTAACTCACAAGACTATCACCCTGGCCACTGTTCATAAGACGATCCATAATCTCAATGATCTTGATCCAGAGATCCAGCATTCCGTCCCATTCTGAGAGGAGCACCATATATTGAAGGAAGACTTTGCAAAGAAGAGAGGCAGACTGGACTCTCATCTCGCTCATTCCATCTCGATCGGACAGAAAGACCTCAGGCTTGAGCAGCTGGATGATTAATGGAAACAGAACCTTACCAAAAATAGCAGTCCACTCTTTAGGGTCACTACAGGTCAACTCTGGGGACAGAAGAGATCGTTGAAGGGCGGAGAACGCAAGTTGTCGGACATCTCTGCATGGGTTTGCACACTGAGTGGTTAAAGCCTGAAAAATTGGCAGCCAATATGCAGACCAGGCTGTGGATTTGTTAATATGGCAATTGGGATAACAGTGTTTGGAGGATGACACACCTTCACTGCTCTCAAGTTGAGACTGTTGCATGAGATGTGGGATTCGATCCGTCATATTATAAAGCATGTTGACAGCCTTGGAGCCTCGGCTAACTGCTTCCGCATTCCTGGGATCATATCAGTGTTTTATTCAAAGCTTGGGGTCTGTCAAGTTTCACCGTTTTTTTTCTTGCTTGGAGAGAACTGGCCTTTGGGGTCTAGGGCTTCGGGTCTGCATGTTAGGTCGCCGAGGGGTGGCAGCGGAGGCAAAGTCATTCAGAAGGGATATTGCTGCCTCGTAGTTATCTGCCATAATAGCTGGAGGAGTTCCAGCAGTTCCCTTCTCCAAAATTTCGAAAACAAGTGCCGCTGATTCCGGACGTTGAGCCAAGGCTCGCAGTATTGCCCAAAAATCAGGGGACGTCATCATTTCTCGTTTCAACGGGCCAGACTCCTCGATGCAAAGCGAAAGACCTTGCAACACAAGATCCGAGTTCTTCCCCAAAGCCTCTTGTGGCAAAGTCGAGATCGTGTGAAGCAGAAATGGAACATTGACGAAGTCATGATCCTTGTATAATTAGCTTAAGTTTAAAAGCGTTTGTTACAAAACTTACATAGCTGATATTGAGTAGCTTGAGGGCATAGAAAGACGCCCGGGAAACTGTAATGGCATGGTATCGGGCTGGATCACGAAGAACACTTTGTAGTGTGTCGAAGACAACTTTACCCATGCTCTCGATGGATTCCGCATCCCGTGACGCCAAGAGTGTACAGAACTCTAGGATATATGCAACACTTGGATCATACTCCAAATGCCCTGGCGGTCGAACGTGACCATTCGTGGGAGACGTGGGCAAACTCTCATGCTTGACACTAATTACGGTCGTGCTAGAATCCTCGGGGAGTTGATCAACAAGTGTTTCGACGATGACTTTAGCAACGGATGGACTCAGATTACTTTCAGATAGTTAGCTTGATCCTGACTATACAAACATACAACTTACGCAATATTTTCAAACACCGCAGTCATATTGCATGACTTGATGCAATCGATAGTACAAAGTGTGCTTTCTAGCTCTTCATCGGATGGTTCAGGGGGGTCGTCGGCAGCATAACTAGAAATGTATGACGTGAAGGCCGAAAAGAAACCAGTGTCCGCATTCCTCGCGACTCGGTCGATGACTTGTGATGGCGTTTGCAGTGGAATGGGGGGCAACGGTAAGCCTGGCAAGTTGCTTGGAGAGAACGGCGAAATGAGCGAGTTGGTGAATAGATTGAGCCATATGCGAATCATCTGTCAATGTGAGCATCCATTCAACTAAAAAGGCTCGATTACTAACATATTTCCAACTCCTGTGTATCAGATTTTCACTTCCAGTAACGACACGGAACAGCACAAGAGTCGCAAGTTGGGCCCTGAAATCCCTACCGAGCTTAACAGCGAGTTCGCTTACCATAACGCTACCAGCCCCTGCCTGAACTTCAGTGTTCAGGGAAGTGTTGAACTGTGTTTCGGTTGCCAACGTCGACATGTGACTTAGACAATAAACAATCTGATCAAGAGCTTCCGAGTTCTGGTATTTCGTGGCAATGCGAGCGCATTCATCGAAGCCAGTGACGATTCGGGCGAACACGGCATCATCTGTGGCGGACATGAATACATAGGACAGCGTAGAAACAATAGGTTTCCAGGTCGTTGCAAACATATCAGCATCGTAAATGTTTGTGTCGCATATTACAAGGTTACCAGTTGACTCTGTCTTGAGAAGCAGTTCTCTCCATGCATAGTCAAAGGCATGCTTGTTATCATGTTCATCAGGCAGGATGATTTCGTTGGACTTGATGGACTGGTAGATAGTCTGCAGATACTCGGGAGCAAAGTTTTGGCCGTTGTTGGTTCCCCTGAGGTTTCTTGCGAAATCCTCCAACGTCATGCGCTTCTTGGCGTCCAGGTTGGGGTTATGTTGATCAGTATTCAACAGGATGATAGCATACGTCAAGATGTAGACTGCATCTTTGTCTGCGACTTCGCCAGTAGTGTCGTGGGAGCAAAATTTCTCGGAGAAAGCCTCCACGATCGTAGCAATCAAGGGCGCCTCTCCGGGGAGTCGGAATGACTCCAAGAATTGTCTAAGTGCCTCGTCAACTCGCTTACCAGAAAAGTCAAAAAGGTCCAAGAAAGCTCCGAGAATTTCTTCATTGCCTCTCTTAGATATGAAGTCGCCAAGGACCTTCTTATTGACCCGTGAAGTGCCTTTGAGAAACTTGGCAACAGCAACAGGATCTGTGGCGTCTTTAATGATGCCCTGTGCTTCCAGATAGCCCAGACCTGCCTTAGGCTTCTCGTTGAACTTGCTTGCTCCCTTGATAATAATTTTCTTCTTTCGCCTTTGCTCCCTTAATGTCGCAGGGTCAGGAAAGTCTCCATAGATAGGATCTTGGTCAAGTCTTTCGGCAATAAACTGGATATATCGGAGCAGAGCATCGAGACAGAGCGGAGGGACACTTGTGGTGCTCCAGGTTGCAGAATCAGGGAGAGCATTTCTGGAAAGAAGCCCAATCATGTCTTCACAGAGATCCGCCCGATCAACATCGCAATCGTAATTAATGAAGAGCTCCGCCATGAATGTCGGCATACGCGACAGGACCCCAACACTTTCTACCATAGCCTGGCGCGCATCTGGCTTCCGGGATCCACCCTCCAGACCAAGTTTTTGACGGTCCTTGACGGGGACTGGAGTCGATCGGCCACTGCTGGGCTGTGATGACTGTGAAGGTTTGACCAGTTTGGGCGTCTGTGGGATGCCAGCATAGAGAGAGGGGTCGATACCGGGCTCGCGGGGTATCTCAACCTTTGGGTGTAAACAAGCTACCAGGTAAGATAGGAACAGCTCCTGTTGCAACTTAAGTACTCCACGACAAGTGGCCAACAGCGTACCGGCAACAACTAGCGACTCCTCGAGAATTGCCATGTTGTCAGACCTTACTAGCTGAAACAGATAACAGCATAATCGGTCCTCAGCGATACCTGCTAAGGCAGGGTGTCGAGAAATAAAGGGCCCAGCAACCTCAAGGGCGACGTGAATAATTCGTAATGCCATAACCCGCATTGTGTCTGTGTGCTGTCGATCTTGAGGGTCGAGGAAGTTTACCAATACCCGGAATAACTCACGAACAGAAGGGAGGGAGTAAGGCCTGAGATCTACAGACTCCGTCTCTTCTGTCGCGTCGCTTGTAGTTGCCAGCGCCGTTTCAGAAGTGGCCGTGGTGTCCCGACTGCTTCGTTCGGGGTCTGGGGTAGACATTCCAGGTACCTCCAGGCTCTCAGGTTCGGCAGGCAGTCCTCCTGCTTCGGGAGCGGGGTTTTCCATTCTGACGCCATCGCGGTCGTCATCAACTTGCTGATCCAAGGCG